GAGAAAACCTGCCCCAGCGCCACTTTGTACACCACAAATCCCACTTGACCAGACCCGGGATCGAACCCGGGCCGCCACAGTGGGAAGCCAGTGACTAACCGCTTGAGTTATGGTGCAGCCATTACACTTTCCTTAACTTTACATCTATTTTAGGTAGCCATCTAAAAAGTGTAAACTCAGGGTTTCCCCATATTCTGTACCGCTTACATTATAAACAAATAAAATACGGATGATCATACACTTACAATTACTTTACTGGACTTTGTCCACCATCCAAATTCCAAATGAAATACGTTTTGGAATACCAGATGGTGTTGAAGTGGAGATAAAATGGAAAAAATTATATCATCAAAGTATAGGATTTTACATAACACTAAAATACATACACCTTAATGGTCAGCAGACTTGCCAGTAAATAAATATCATTTATTGTTTTTGCTATCATGCCAACATGGAGTCTGTATTTGTTTTCTAGCCATGAAGATGTGTGCCTGAGGAGCTTCATTCGCACCATAATCAAGCTGCATCGTGCTATTACAACAGGCATCATAAAGTAAACATGAAAAAATAATAGTTTTACTAGCAACAATAAATAACATAAACAAATAATACTGTCCTTATTTTAATTTTTTTTTTCTTTTTCTGTGGCGCTACAGCCCCAATTTGGGCCTAGGCCTACCTCCATGAAACTCTCCGTTTCACTTCGGTTTACTAGATCTTACACATACGGTAGGACTCGTTGGGCGAGTGAGCAGCTCGTCGCAAGGCCTCTACCTGTACACATACACAGAAACACGCACACAAACATCCATGCCCTGAGTGGGATTCGAACCCACGATCCCGGCTTCCAAGCAAGCGAAGACAGTGCATGCCTTAGACCGCTCGGTTACCGTGACCGGCGTCCTTATTTTAATGCTTACTCATTAATAAAACAAACATTAAAACAGTGTAGGATTTTTTCGTGGGACTTGCAAATGAGTCAGTGACTTTTACACATAGAGTAATGGAAGCATTATTTTCTATTTATTAATTTTCACCTTATGAACAGTTTTCATGGCAAAAATTACCTTCATGAATCAAGGAATACCTGCATACAGACAGACATATAACAAGCTTTGGAAACTGCGAAATTCATGCTAAATATGCACATGAAAACTCACAGAAAAAGATCAAATTGGGAGATAATATGCAGAGAGATTTTAATCCATTGCATAAAAATAAGATTCTGACTCCTGGAAACAGTGATGACCAAACAGTTAACTTATGAGTCTGGCTGAAAATTTTCTAGGTAGTTCTGCCCTTTTAGGAATTTAAACAGGATCCACGGGACACCATGAAGTTCGACTGATCAAGAGGTTATGAGAACTAGGTTCTGATGATGTGAATTGGACTGAATAGACAAAGGATATGATCCAGTGACTGAGACTTGTGAAACAGCTTCATAACAACAGACAATTTGGAGGGTGCTGCTAACCTCTGGCATGTGACAGGATCACATTCTGGTAGAAGCAAGTATCTCAGAAAATTTTAGGCTTCACAGTCACCACTGTGAAATCATCAAATCTCAACAGGGAATTTCCTTACCAGTTCACTGACAGTAATCCATTCAAAGATGTTTCAAGTATATTACCGTCTCAAATGCTACGTTTATTTTTTGTCTCATACACATCTAAATATGATATCTTCTAGCTGTGTGTGGCCATCATCAGGTATATGTGAGTTCTGCTACAATTTCTTCACTGTATGCCATACTTTGTGTCAGACACCCAGGCTCAATGTTAACTTTTAAAATTATTTGTTTGAAGAAATTATTAAAAATTCATTAAAATATATCTATTAAAATTCTGTTGCGCTGCATTCAGTGCCACGATGTGGATGTCATGTGGTAACATCACAGCCAGTAATATATATATACAGGGTGTCCCAGGAGGAATGGACCAAACTTCGGGAGGGTGTTCCTTATGTTAAAGTATGCCGATATAACCCAAAACACCTATGTCCAAAGTTGAACGGTTACGGAGATAATGGCCCGAGAAAAGTGTGGTCTTCTTGCAGGTCCACGCACTGTGGACAGTCAGCTGTGACTGTTATCTGTTTGTACTTGAGTGTGGTGATGTCACACTAGCCGTGATCTCATGCGCAACCTACCAGAGCCTACACAGATTATGTTGCGGTGGGGTCGTGAATGGGTGGTAAATTAGTTGTGTGATGAGTTGCTGAAATGCCTCTTGTGTTTTCACACGTGGAATATTGTGATATGCATTTTGTGTGTGGATTTTGCGGTCGCAATGCACGTGCTGCTGTTGAAGAATACCAAAGGCGTTTTCCCGATCGATGGATTCCATCTCGAAGTGTATTTACGCGAATTCACCAGACATTGC